CACACAACATACAAACATAATGTGTGTGCCCTAATTCATAGGCTTTGGTTTGGGTTGGTGCTGGGGCAATGGTCTGGCTCTGCAGCCTGTGCACACAGCAGGGCAGCTTACCACCGTGCACCCCCAGAAGGCAGTGCAGTGCTCTGCCTGGTATCGATGGGTTCATGGTACCTCCATGGCAAGGTCCTTGGTCATTGATCAGCATGCAGAGCCTGCTCGGGGCCTGCGGCATAGCCAGCTGGGACCCCTGAGCTGTGCAGTGCATGGGGTTTGCTTTGTGTGAGCAAGGTGCTGGGAGCCCCTGGTCTCTGCAGGGTTAAGGAGTGTCGGAGCAGTGTGTTTAGAAGGGCCAGACATGTCCTCACAGGAGCCTAAGCACAGAGTCGTGACAGTCTCTGAGGGCATTTTCCTTATTGGGACAAGAACATGCTAATGCTATCTGCAAGATGTGACCCCGAATCTCCCCCAACAGATGCATCTCGTGGGACCTCCCACCCCAACATCCTCCCCTGCAGCCCACTGGCTCCTGCTTGCCTGACTGCCTGCCTGCCTGGCTGCAGTCAGGGGAGCTGTGCTGATGTCACCCCAGACATGCTGATGTCACTCCAGCCTGTTGTCATAGGAACAGCATCTGCCACTGTCCTAGCCACATGCCAGAGAGGCACACCAAGACAGAGCTGGTGCCTGGCTGCTGTTTGGGGTGGGGGGGTCCCCAAAGACATCCAGCCCTCTCCCCTACTCCTACCTGTCCTGTGGTGGGAGGACACCATGCTGGCTCCCACTAATGTTGCCTGATGCCCTCTCTTTTGCTGGCAGGTGGCATGATCAGCTTTGATGTCTTCCCAGAGGGCTGGGACAAACGCTACTGCCTCAATGTGCTCGACGACGAGAGATTTGACACCATCCACTTCTTTGGGAATGAGACGACCCCTGTGAGTATGCCCCACTTGCCCCACATACAGCCACTTTCTCTCCTTCGTGGAGCTGCTCCATCACAGGTCTCATGACCTAGGTCCAACTGTGGCTGACACAAACCTCTAGCAGTGCAAGGAGGAGAGATGCTCTCCTGCAGCACAGGTTTGCAGCAGGCTCATGATGGTGGCTGGCCCACTGGATTGTGAGGAAATCACCTTGGATTCACTGCTGGGGAGCAGGTCCATCTCAGCATTGTTTTCCTCCCCCTGGCACCACTGGGAAGGGTGCAGCTACTCCTGCAGCCTGCAGGACCCAAAATACAAGCCCCCAGCAATTAGGGGGGCTTTTCAGCAATAGGAACAGCTTCACCTTCCCTTTAAAGTGGTGGAGGGTGATGCTTCCTTGCTGCTATAGACCAGCTTGGCCATCCACTCAGCTCTTTCCAGATGATGGCAACATCTGCTCTTCAGATGTGCCCACCTCACCTTCTTCTAACCCATCCACAGGCAGGGCAGGGGTTAACCAAAGGCTTCTGGGCAAGCTTTGCTGGTTTGGGATCTTCCCCATCCTTTTTAGCTCCTCCCTTGCCACAGAAGAAGGGAGGCAAGGTGAAGGTAGCAGGACTCCCAGCCCAGCCTCTTCTGTCTCCCTGGGCCAGCAAAGCCCTGACAGCCCCTTCCCAGCAGGCCCCTGCCCACCCAGCCACTGGCTCCCACCCCAGATTCTCACAGGACAAAGCAAGACACACATTGATGGATGAGGATGCTCTAGCAAGACCCTACTAATGCTCTCCCTATTTGCTATTCCCCTGCAGGGAGGGAACGATTATGAAATCTATGATGATCCACGCACAGTGGGACACAGCGTCCTGTCCCCCCAGGACACGGTCCAGCGGTGCCGTGAAATCTTCTTTCCAGAGAGAGCAAATGAGTGTTGACTGCCAGGTCCCATCAGCCCTGCCTAAGCCCCACTCTCTCTCCCTGCCAGGAAAAGCACCTTCATTTGAGGAATCTGCTCAGGGTAGACAAAAACCCCACCACTTTCCAGAGCTGGTCAGGATGCAACACATGACTGTGGGTGGGTGTGCAGGAGGGGGCCTTCACTGAGCAGCCCTTTGGCACTCCCCATCTATGGCTGGGGCTTGTGGGACCAGACCCTCCTCACCTCCAGGAAAACTTCTCTCTTGACAGTTCGGGCTGTGGTGGGTAGCAATTCAGATGCTTTTTTGGTCAGAAAGCATTTGAAAGGGCCAGTACAAGAGCGTGTGTGTGTCCATCCCGTGCTCCTTCCCCTCTTCTTTTTTTGCTCTGTTTCTCTTAACACTTCTGCATGAGGGAACATGCATCTCACCTTTCTCTACCCTTTACACCTTGGCTGGGAAGGATGGAGCTGTGGAGGCCCCAGGGACTCTGACCAGAGCTGTGCCAAAGTGAGAGGCCAGGAAGAGCCCATGGTAGGAAGGGGTAGCAGCAACCCCAGCTTGTTGCAGTGTTGTGCACCATGCCAGTCTCTACAGGTGATCTGGGAATCACAGTTTTAAAATGACTCTTCTCCTACTCTGAGCTTTGCTTAGGTGCCTGAAGAAACTGATTCTCTCTTTAGCTTACAAAAAAAAAAAAGGCTACTGTGGGTTTCTTCCCCATGTTCTGCAGAATTTGTCAAGCCAGACCTTGCTTGGTATGGCTGGAGGGTGGCTGGTATGTGCAGAGCACCCTGCAGAGCTGTTGGGGACAGAAGGCTTCCCAACAGTCTTCCCACTTGTGCATCCATTAGGCATCACAGATGTGTCAGTGTAATACTTTACCCAGGGCATTCATAACAGACCAGTTCATCCCAGTGCTCAGCTTTCCATCATGCTGCCAGAGACATTTTCAGAGAGGGCCAACACAGGCAAGACCTGCTTTTTAGTGTCAACAGAGGTACATGCTCAACAGTGCCCTCCAAGCTTGCTTTTCCACCCCATCTCGTTCCATATGCTGGGTTTACATGGTCACCTTTAGGGATGCAAGTTCTCCGGTGTAGCTGTTGTGTGTCCTGCTCCTCTCTTCTGGTTCTTTGTGGGTTGCAAAACCATGTCTCCTTTGGTCCTTGACCTCCTCCCTCATGTTGCCCCTTTTTTCCTGGCCATTACGCTGGGATGTGTGACCACACTGGTGATGCTAGTCACAATTTGATGCTCAAGAGGAGCTCAGGGATCCCCTCCAGGGAGGTGTCCTGCCTATATAGCTCCCCAGGGCACATGTCTGGTGTTTGTGGATCTGGAGGGTGCTGGAAGTTCTTGCAAAAACTCGCCACATTGTTCCTTGAGAGCCTTTCTCAGTACATCCCTGCTGGGATGGCAGTCCTCCATGTCTTTGTCTTGTTTTCTCTCCTCTTTTTCTCCTGTTCCTGCTTTCTTCACCATTGCTCTTCATATCCCACCTAGCAGCTGGACTGCGGAGAGAAGTTCCTCAGCTGGCTACTGCCACTTAACCCAGGGGCCAAGTTCCTCAGGCGAGATATGTTGGTGCTTTTAGACCCAGGACAGGGCTCCCACGTTGCCACGGGCAGAGTCCTGAGTGGACCCTGGCACCGCTGGATCCTCCACCTGATTACGCCTCTTAACTCTGCAACACATCAGGTCTGTAATGCATCACATTTGCATGAGTGCAGCGGTCTGACCAGCATCTGGAAATCCCCAACAAATGCACAAATTCCTCTTTCTACCCAGAGAAGATTTCTGCATGGGAGAAAAGGACCTGTTGGGGAAGCCTGGATGCAGGGTACCCTTTTCACAAGGCACTGGTTTTGGCCCTCCACTGCAGCTGTCATGAGGAATTCTGTGTTTTGTGGTTCCTCCTGTTTCACTGTGGATCAGGTTATGTGTGGGTTTAGGGGCCATATTTTTCCTGTAAGTTTCAAAGTCAGCAGGATCTCTAGCAAGCTTAGTGAGGAGTGAAGAGCAGGGCCTGGTCCTGAAGGCATGAGGCACGTAGTGGCCTTGGGGACTGAGATGACTTGCGTGTTTGAAGGGAAGGGCAGGCTCTGTCCAAGGCTGCTCCTGGTGGCAGCATGTCTCTTGCCCAGGGTGGGGGGAGTTGCAGGGTGGGCAGAGCAGAGGCAGGGCTGACCTTCAAGGCACCAGACATCACTTTCTCTGCTCAGGAGCTCACGTGTACATAGGTGGGATCAAGTGCAGGAACTTTCCCTGTTCCTGTCTCTGTCTTACACCAAGCTTGGGCTAGTTGAGGGCACCTCCCATCAGGAGACCCTGTCCTGCTGGAGGGATTATGAGGAGGAGGATAACATCAGAAGTAGCTGGAGCAGCCCCAGGGTCTCAGGGCCACAGAATGATTGAGGCGGAAGGGACCTCTGTAGGTCATTGGGTCCTACCCCCCTGCTCAAGCAGGACCACTGAGAGCCCCAGCTGCCAGTCCTGTGTTTTTGTGGGCAGGGATGAGGCACAGTGCCGGGGTGGGAGCCCTGCACCTAGGGGATAGTGCACGCCTGTCCTTGAGACCCCTTTGCTATGATGTTCCTCTCCCAGTGGGTGCCCACAACATAAGTGGGGGTTTCTCCCTGTGTATGTGTGAGTGAGCAGATGTGGTGGGCCCTGCATTGGGGACCATCTTGCCATATGGCTCCATATCTGTGTGAGACGGGCGGCTCCTGTCTGGCTGATACTGTTAAATAAGAAATATATTTAAATACATATATATGTATATTAAAAAAATTTAAATAAATCATATTAAAGCTACAGTATGCAACAGTTAGAGACAGCATGTGCTCTGTGCCACTCTGCTGGGGTTAAACACAGCCAGACAGCAGGCAGCTGCACTTCAAAATCCTGGCAGCAGCAGCAGGAAACCAGTCCTTGTCCTGGTCACCCCTCCCAGTGGGCAGCATCCTCCTGTCCCAGGCTCAGGGTCTGCTTAGGGTGCTGCAGGACTGGAGCACCCCAGGACCCCCCAGGACATGCTGTGCAGATGTGTCTGTCCTGCTGTCTGGATAAATCCCTGGGCGCTCCAGGTCCTTTACCTGGGAGAGCCACCAGCGTCCCCACTGCAACACACACACAACGGACAAAGAGCCAGGGTGGGCAGGGCTCATGGGAAAGTCACTTTTAATGGTTTATTGCCAATGTTACAAAGGTCGACACACGGTCAGACAGGCGGGAACCACACTGGAGTTGTAAAAACACCAAGTCTAGGGTTTTAGTTTATTTCCAAAAAAAAGAGAGAAAAAAAAGAGAATCAAAGTTTGCCTTGGCCAAACTGACTGTGTGTCCCAGGGATGGCTGGGGCCTGAGACAGCATCGTGCAGCTCCTGGGAAAGCCAGGCCTTGGGTTGGCAGTGAGATTGGCTAGGGGTCCCAGGGAAGTCCCCACACCATTCTGGGCTGAGACAGTGTGTGGTGCTCCTCCCAAATCCACAGGGCCCCAGCTGTCCCATGTGGCACCATCCTTGTCCCCCTCCTCTCCCCACTTACAGCAGACCCGTCCCCACTGCAACAGTGGTGGCAAGGAAGGTGGAAATCACCCCTCTCCATCAGTGCTGAGGACCAGCAGTGCCGGTGGCTCCCGCCAAGTGGGTGACTGGGGACCCAGCTGTTGTCACCTGCCCTGCACCGGGGGGCTGCTTGCCCTGCTTCGAAATAAACCCCTTAAGATGCTGATAATCTCTGGTGCATCTGTGCAGGCACCATTTCCCTGGGATCAGTTCAGGCCCAGCCAGTTACATGCTGCCCCTGTCCTACCACTCCCTGCCCTGTCCCTCCCCACGGCCACGGGAGCCCACCTGGCCAGGGTATGGCAGAGAAGACGAAAAACGAAGTTTGTGCTTTGTATACAAGACCCTGCCTACACTGAGGGACTAGGGAGGAGGTGGCTGCACTCGCCCCACAGCTGAGGCTACTCAAACCGCTCAGCCTTGCTCCCCCAGCAAGCTATGGACATGCACACACACGCACACACACACGCGCACGCATGGGAAGGGGGGTCCCCAGGGGGGCTGGGAGGACAAGGGGAGGAGGAGGAGAAGGCAGCTATCTCCCCAAAACCATGTTGGCACTGAGCCAAGAAAAGTGCGTCGCCAGCCCAGTGGCAGTGGGGAGCACAGAGGTGCCAAGTGCACCCCTGCCCCACGCCCAGCTGCAGACCCCCAAGCACAATGCCAAGTGCCCCTGACACCCTGCCAGCAGCCATTTGCCCCTTAAAACTGAATTTCTCCTGTCTGCCACTCGCCTCCCCGTGGCACTGCTGACCTGAAATCTTTTGATGGAGGGATGTGACTCAGGCAAGTGCCGTGAGCTGCCAGCCATGGGGATGGGTCTCAGCCACCCAGTCCCCATACAGTGATACGCCTTCCCACACTGCCCCATTTCCCCGAGCCCCACGGCATGCCCTGCTGCTGCCATGCTGTGGGCAGCAGGACCAAGCAGGGTGCCTGTCTTGCTGGAGGGGCGTTCAGGAGGACGAGCTAAGCACCCCCAGCCTCCCCCTGGCCCTCTCCTGCTCTCAGCATCTGCTTCAGCCCAGGGCAGCCGGAGGGCCAGAGGGAAGGATTGGTTCCCCTGCTCCCCATGGCCTTGGGGGCAAGGAAGGGAACATGAGGATCCGTGCTGCTCCCAGAGCTGGAGGGCAGCAGGGGAGGGCTCTGCTTCCTCCATCCCCCTCAAAAGACACTTACAAACACATACAGAGAAAGGAAACTGTAACCTTAGAAAAGACACCGAACGCAAACACCTGCATGTTTGGGGGCAGCCCTGGCCCCACTGCCGCCTCGGCTCCCCCCGCGCCCCCTGCGAGAGGCTGGGCAGGCTTGCTCCGTGGGGCCAAGTGGCTGGTGCCCCCCCCTGGGCGCCTAGGAGCCAATGATCTGGCCAGACCACGTCTCGTGCTTTGTGTGGGGCGCCAGGTTGGTGAGGACCACCTCCACTGCCTGGAACTTCTGGTTCTTGGGAGGGATGGGGCAGACCTTGTACGTCACCTCGTCCCCCTCCACTGGGACGTACTCCCCCTCGATGCTGTGAGAGAGGAGAGAAGAGGTGGTGGTGGTCTGGGGCCAAGAGCCAGATCCCTGCCCCAGACCACCCAGCACCAAGGAAGGCACCTGACCCACCAGCTGTACCTTGGGAAAGAAAACCCACCAGCAATGGGGGGTAGAGGACAGGCAGAGCCCCATCCCCACCCCATGGATACATCACCACCCTAGCCCACATGTCTCCAGCCCCATCCTGATGGAGCAGCTCCCCCAGGGTGTGCCAGCACTGTGTGACCCCCAGACTTACTCAGACACGTGGACAAAAATATCCTCTGTGCCATTCTCAGGGGTGATGAACCCGTGGCCCTGGGAGCGAGAGAACTGCTTGCAGACGCCCTTGAAGATGGGGCCAGCAGAGGCACGAGCCGTCCTGCGGGAAGAAAGGCATGGAGATGTCTCACTGGTAGCACTCACCCAGGGGGGCAGCACAGGGAGAGGTTTGCTATGAAAACATGGCGTTCCCCAGGAGAACACACGGCAGCCACCCACAGCACCCGGGCAGGTGGATGCAGTGATGCCGGGCACTGCGATGGTGACATGCACCAGGTGTAAATGGTTCTGCAGGCTCTGCTGGTGCCCATGGTCCCTGCTCGGCTCAGCTGGACAGTCCCAAGCCCACTCACCACATGCTGGGTACTTACGCTGAGTAGGTCCTGGTCCTTTTGGTGGGGAGAGGGCTGGGCAGGTCCCGCAGCAGGAGATTGCCCCGCTCCCAGATGCGGCTGCCCTCCCGCTGGAAGGGGAAGGTGGGCCACACTGGAGACTTGGGGGAGTGCAGGGGTGGCACTGCTGGCGGGGCGCTGGGGTCCGACGACATGGTGGGGCTGGTGGGCTCCTCCGTTTTGGGGATGGGTAGACAGGCGTCAGGAGAAAGGGCGCCTAGGCACGTGGGTCTGCTGACTGCAACCTGGGGAGCAAAGTGAGGGGTGGTTACAGGCTCCCCCAATGGGGGACTTCTGGTGAGGGCAGTTTGCTGTCAGCAATTTCCCCCTCCCAGCCTCACATCTGTGGGGCAGGCAGCATGTCGCTAGCCTTTGGTACTGGGTGCCAGCCCCTGGTGCTGGGAATCACCCCAGGAAGCCTGTCCAGGCTTGGAGCAACCTGGGATGTTCCACCAAATCAATCCTAAGGGAAGAGCCTGGTTTGTGGCTTTGTCTTTCATTTTCCAGGATCACCTCACATATTAGATATGAAATTGTTGAAAGCACATCCTGGGAGAAGGAGCAGCTGAGCGCAGGCTGCCATGGGCAGGGACCATTTTGGGAAGGATGCCCACGCAGTGCCAGCACACCCAGGCCCTGAGCCCCAGCCTCAGAGATCTCCCCTAGCACAAGATTTCTGATAAAAGGGTGAAGGAAAAAGGCTGAGACAACAGGTAAGTCAAGGTCAGGGGTCTGAGGTCACCCCACCACTGGAGGTTGCCTCCATGCTGTGGGATTTAGGACCTAACCCCAGCCCCAGCCAGAGGCTCACTGCCCACTTGGACACATCCCTATGGGGAAGGGACACCAGGAGACTATTGCGTGGCTGTTGGCGGCACACACGCCCTTTGGGTACCTCAGATGTGCGGAGACACAAGCACAACCTCCTGCCATTGTGGTCACTGGGATGTGGCCTGACAGACAGGTCAGCTGCTGAAGAGGAGGAGCCAGAGCGAGCGTGGGCATGGCTGTCTTTGCCAAACCACCTCGAGCATGAAATTGGAGGGGGCTGTGCATTTTAAAGCCTCCCAGCTCTGGTGCATGATCAGCACTATAGCCACTTGCTCAGAAAGGCTTTTTTCTGCTGATGGCCCATCAGTTGCTGCATCTGATGCTGGGTCCCTCTGTCTTGGGGTACCCCATGCCAGCAGCTCTTTGGGGACACTGCTCTTTCGGGGTGCTGGGTAGGGGCTCACCCATCTCCATCACCCCTCAGGCTTGGTGGTTCCCCATCACCTGGAGCTGAGAAGCCCAACATCCCATGGAGTTACCATCACCTTCCCAGTCACCCCCTTCAGTCCTTCCTGCCCCACTGGGGCATGCGGTATCTTTTGGGACAACACCTGCACACACCAGGAAACCTGAGAATATTTAATTTGTTTCTGACTCATTGGCAGCCCCTTGAGATGCAGATGCCCTGGGGGGACGTGTGAAAGGGGGTCACCTCTGCTCTGAAATTAGCAGGCACCAAGGACATAGGAAAAGGTTTCTAGAGCAGTCGAAGTTTAGGGGAGGGACCAAGCGACTCCCGTTCCTCTTCCCCACTTCTGCTTGCTTCCCCTGCCAGGGTGTCTGCCTGCCACTGGGTCCTGATTGCTGCTAGTCCAGCTTTGATGTCCATCCACACCTCAACTAGAGTCCTAACAGCTGCCCCCTCTCAGCCCTGCAGAGCTGCATCCCAAGGTCCAGGCAGCAGAGGCCACACTAGAGTCCCACCCTAAGGCAGAAGCCACCATTTTCCTCCTGCCCTCCTATTCCAGCCCTGGCAGCAAAACCCCTCTGAAACGTCTCTCCCCTCACTGACTTCCCATCCACCACTGAACCAAACCCTTTATGTGCTTCAGCAACTCCTCTCTGCCATGAAGCAACTGGAGCACATGTGCCTGCCTTCTGCTGCACGGCCCACCCCACACCAGGGCTGCTCAGCTCCCAGTCCACCAGGCTCAGCATCTCCTGCCTCCACGCTCAGGGTCAGCATCTCCTTCTCCCATTTCCAGGCTTGGGTTCATCATCTCCTTCCCCCATGCCCAAGAAGCTTGGAGAGGCTCAGGGAGCATCCAAGTGAGACCCTGAAAAGCTGAAGCAGCCACCAAGCTGTTTCTCTGTTCCCACCTGTGCCCTCTGTCTGGCCGCTCTACCTGTGCTGGCGAGCAGCCTGGCTGCTTTTGGGCAACAAAAACCAATGTGGTCCCCAAGTGTCACTGCAGGATCTGGTGCCTTCCCAGGAGGTGTCAGGGCTGGACAAGAGGGACGATTCGGGGGGAGCAGCCCTTGGTTCTCCGCCACATTATGGAGCCGCCACTATGAAAATGGCTTCACAACAGTGTGCCTCCTCTGTGCGTGCTTTTGCTGACAAGGCCTTTTGGTTCCCCCACCAGATTAGGGACAATGCAGGGTATTTAACCTGAATAATGATGCTTGGAGCAAACTATTAGTATGCTGAGGGGATTGGTTGGTGCCAGGAGAAAGACCTTCCTCTGGCGGGTCCACAAGGGGCTGGAAAAATTGAAGTTTCCCAGAGACAAAAGAAAAATAAGAGGCCAAGGGGAAGGGGTGTGCAAGGGAGGGAGCCTTGCAGGGACAAAATGATGTGGGCAGATGAAGTGGCAACTGAGAGTGGGTTTGCCCCATGTTCACCTGTGGGACCAGCCCAGGCTGGGATGCCCTGGAAGGCTCCCTGTTTTGGGGGACGAATGGTGGTGGGGAGCAGGAGCATGCTGGGCATCACTGGGGGAGAGGAGGCAGATAGCCCACTCTTGAGGCCCAAGGGCAGCAGCAGAGAGAGCCCTCCTGGCGCTGGTGTTTGCCCCCACTAGCTGAGCTTGCCCTGCGATGGAGAACAAGATGGGCGTGATCCCCACAGGCATTTTGGGAGACTCTGGCTGGCCCATGGGGGTGTGGGGGAGAGCCCTGGCATGGGGCGACAGCTCACCAGGATGAGCATGGGGACAAGGCACAGCAAGGCCGTGGGATCCCCGTCCTCGCGGGTATGCAACCCCCGCAGACATGTCCCTAAGCAACCTGCTCTAAGTGAGGCATTGCACCTAACTCCTGCTTGGAGCAGGGGCTGGAGCAGAGACCCATCCTGTGGCCATGCCAAGGCTGTTCCCATGGCCAGCAGCACTCTGCCCCTCTCCAGTGTCTGGCTCATGCACCCCAGATCTGTGGGTCAGCCTTGGGGCCCAGCGGCTGAATGCCTGGCTTTGCCAGTACTGCTGAAGCTGATGATGAGCAGGAGCTTTGGCACCACGGGGGGCTTCGGGGCGGGAGCCTGCCTCCCACCTCATTTAAATCCCTGCAGCAAACAAAGGGACCGAGGAAATTAAGCTCATGGCAAAAGCGGGCTGAGAGAAAAGGGCAGACAGGAGCATGTCCTCACCAGTGTCTCTTCCCCTCCCAACCCAGCCAGAGAGCTGGGAAAGCCCCCCCTTTCCTTCTCCTTCCCTCCCTGTGCTCCACCCCACCATCCTCTCCCCAGACCTTTCTCCACGCTGCAGCCCCAGCAGGCAACAAGGAGGCGGCACCTGAGGCACAGAAGGCATTTCCCCCCTGCTCCTCCATCACCAGCAGTCACACTAACCTCTGCTGGGGCTGAGAGCATCTCTCCCTACTGCAGGTCTCTCTCAGCCTGGCAGACACCACCCACGATACCATGTCCACTCCATGCACGTATATGGTGCCGGGATGAAATGGGGTCACTTGAGGAGGCAAGCAGAGGCTGCAGCAGACCAGCTCTGCTGCAGGAAATGGGAAACCTTTCCAGTGTAACCCCTCTTCCACTGCCGGACCTCCACCTCACTCATCCCCATCTCCATTTGGTGGCTTTGCTCTGAGGGTCCCCTGAGGTGGCAGTCCTCCGAGCCAAGGATGTGTGCAAGTGGCACCAAGCCCAGTGCCCCCTGGAAGGATGCTCTTTGTAAAAAAAACAAACCACCTTGTCCATCCTGCCCCCTCCCCAAAGAACCTGTCTCAGAGTGAAACCCCAGAGCCTTCTGGTGACAGGGTCTCCTTCAGCAGCAGCAGCCAGCTTTGCTTTTATATGTTTCAGAGGGCAGCCTTCCGAGCTGAGCTGACAGTTGGGAACACTCTCAGGCGAACGCAAGAAACCCAGGCCAATTAAGGCAGACAGGCAGTAGACACATCAGCTTTTATCTCAAGATCCAAGTACCCCATTCATCACCAGCGACTGAGAGGTCTACAGTTTATCAAATAAAATCACTGTCTCTCTCCCTCTCTTTAAAGCCAAACACATTGACTCGGGTGCTGGCTGTGACCTTGTTTAACTAAACAGCATTTCAAGGTCCCCCAGAAGGGGGGAAGGAGCCTTTTGAAGAGACACCAGCCTCTGCCTGCCACTCCCCGTTCATTAATGGCAGCGAAGAAAAACCCCTCATGCTCGATCGGGTGGGGGAATACATATTTAATTGGCTTAATCGCTCTCGGCAAGTCGGCCCTCCCTCACAGTGCTTCTTTGTGCTCCTTCTCATCCGCCAGAACCCCCAGGCTGCCCAGGATGGACAGACAGATGGGTGGCCACTCTGCTGGCGGCTGTCACTCCAGCTCTGGACATGACCCTTCAGATGGCCTGCCATCACCTTTATGGGCTGTTTCCTTTCATGCTGCCACATGTCTTTGCAAATCCCTTGTTCAGATACTGTCTGCACCACGCTCGGGTCTCCTGAGTGCCACCGCTCCCCCCACCCCAGCTGAGGAGCTGGAGGTTTTTTTTCCCTCAGCTGCCTTTTCCAGCGAGTTCCCACACAGGCTCTTCCCTGCTGCTCGCCATCGCGTTTTCTCCATCCCTCACAACTGCCAGTGGCACCAGTCTAGGAGTCAGGTTTACCTTCCTGCTCCTTCCACCCCAGTAGCTAAAAGGTCTGTCCATTGAAAAGACACCCCATCTCTGCAGCTGGCTGCCGGCAGCCATCTCCTCACCCCACAGAGCAGAGAAAGCGATGTTCTGGCCTGCCGCCATCCTCGGGGAGGCTGATGCCCCCCCAGACCCAGTCTGTCTAGACACAGGCTGAAACAGAGAAGAGCTACACCCCTCCAGACACAGGAGCATGTCCCCAGAGCTCAATGCATAGCCCAAAATCTTATTTTTCAGCTGCTTGGCATGTTCATGCACCAAGGGATCTACCAACACATTGGCCAGCAGAGATCCCGAATCGGCATCTCCCGGGGGGCTGCCCTGAAGGGCACGAATAGGCTGGGGAACCGG